ACCCAGGATCAGAATGCCTGATTGGAAAGTAGCTAGTGTTGCGATTTTACGGGAGAAGCTGACTTGCGCCATATTAGGGCTATAAATGTTAGCTAGTGTGATCGACCTGTTGTGTATGAGACCTTTAAAGAAGAGGAACCGACCTTTTGGGTCCTCGAGAGAATCAGTAACCATAAGCGGGAGTCTCTTAGAAATTAAAATGGATACGGATTTTGCTTTCACCTCTGTACGGACTGCATGATATACTGTCGGGTACATTACATTGGAGAATTTAGGGTCATGGTCAGCACGGAAGTGAGTTTCCTGAATGAAAAGTGCATCCGCTCTAAGGCTTTTCATGTAAGTCAGTAGTTGTGAGCGTTTAGAGATGCCACTGAAAGCGTATGAGAAGCATGTGGGGTTTTGGAAGGCATTGTCTCCTATGTATAGGAGCGTCAGTATGTCTTATTTAATCACAAAGGGGAGGTGGGTAATAATCTAGGGAAAGTGGTCAAATATTCAGAGCGACCTTCAGAGATTTGCAGGGAGGAAGAGAGGGAGGAAAAAAAAAAAAAAAAAAAAAAAAAGGGGGGGGGGGGGGGGGGGGGGGTAGAGTGAGGTAAAGAGTGGAGATAAAGACAGGAAAGCGGAGGAGGAGTAGAGAAGAGGGCTGGGAGGCACCTCTATTCACTCATGCAAAGTGCTTAAAAGAGTGACCAGGGGAATTGTTCAAAACAAAATAAAAAGAGATCCGGTGGCGGGGTAGTCCAGCTACTCTGTCCTTTGTTATTATCTTAGGTTCTGTTATTGGTTAGGTTGTTTTGTTGCACTGTGTGTCTAAGTACGGACAGTCAGTCAGACTCAGGGGAATCCACTGTGTGGGGTAGTGAGTTCCAAAGCCAACGGTCTGATACTTGCGAAGTATTGAAGTGTAAATAGTTATGGAGGTGTTGATATCCAAAAGGAGGGTAGCAACAACACATGGAGGAGCAAACGGGGAAAAAAAAAAAAAAAAAAAAAAAAAAAAAAAGGACATTGCAAAGCTGTAGTAGAGAGAGCATATATGATAATCTTTCAAAAAAGGTAGACAGACTGTTTACCAAAATGACATAGAGGCTGCAGAAAGCTAGTATGGTATCTGAGAAGACAGCCTTTCCAGGGCTCCTGCATTGTCTGGAAATTGGTATTAAATGAACTAGACAAAAAAATGTCAAAACTAACTAAATGACCGTACTAATCATGTTTCTGTGAATACTATGACAACAAAATCTAAATGTCACAGTAAATGTCATCAAACTTAATAAATTAAACCTAAGGCAGTATAAACTATTACTCTTTTTAACAGCACTTAAATACTAATAGTGTTCATATATCACCTGTTCAGAGTCTGCAGCCTACTCTTATGCTACCTGCTGTTTCTGCTAGATTTTGATACTGTATGTCAAGTTGGGTGTTCAAGTAGGCAGGAAGAAATCATTATTCTAGGACTACCAAGGAGTACAAGCCTGAAGGAGAACAAACACTTTTTTTTTTTTTTTTTTTTTTTAAAGGTATTAGAACGACTGTTAAGTTTTACAGCCATAGGTATTAGAATGTTAGAATCTTTTCACCTCTGCTGGCCTTTCCTGCGAGCTCAGTTGAGAGTTATTAAAGAACAGAAGAAGTCCAGATAAGGTTATTGCATGCTCCATGTAGGGGGTGGCAGTTAGGCTCTTATCTACAACTACATAACCTCCCTTGTGGATGATCTGGCACTGGCCAATATTGTTCATTAAAAAAAATAATAATATATATAAAAATAAGACAGGCTGAGACTTCAGGTATATCAGACAGGGTTGTCTGGCATGAAAGAGGTTTATGTGGAAAACTGAAGTCACTTTTCCAACAAAGTCATTCAAGTATTCTGGCATGTAGTGTTTCTCCAGAGACTGCATGCTGGTCCACCCCATGCACAGCTGCATTGGCTCACCACAACTTTGAGTGTGGGTCAGTTTTGCCATTAGACAAAAACTGGGAGAGAGAAAGCCAGTGAAATATGCTACACGCACTCTTTAGAAGTCTCCTGGGTCAGGATCACCACAATGCCTTCTACCCAAATCTTGCAAAGCAGACGAGGTAGAGGTTGCAATGGTGAAAAAGGCATATATTACGGAGAGTTGATCCCACTGCATTACCAGAGTACCCCCCAAGAATGCTTGAGGGCCCCAGGTCCTGTATACAAATCTGTCTAGCTTCACATTGGATGTGAAGCTTCTAGCATCCAGGTTTAGAGTTCCCCATCTTCAGCAGAATTCCTTAAACATATCTGGATGTAGAGCCCATTTGTCTAGAGACCACTGCTGATAGCTGACAAAAATCCCCTTACAATTTTTCATACCACGAATGTGTACAGTGGACAGGAACATGAAGTTCAACCTATGAGGATAGGATCCCCCTCATCCTGAGCGGCCCAAATCCTGTTGCCTCTCTGATGATTTATGCATGCCACTGCCATGACATGTCTGACTCAACCCTTACAGGGAGGTCCTTCAGTTACATTGACCAATGTGTTAGGGCAAGTTGAATTGTCCTCAATTTCAGGTTGTTGATGAGCAACAACCTCTTCTAGTTTCCCAGGCAGGTGTAGGTTATCAGGACCCTTCAAGGCAGAGGAGCGATTTTCCCATTTCAAGCATACATGAAAAAAAATCACCAGTCCAGAAACAATTTCATCCTGGGGTGTAACTGCATCAGGGAGTCCAGTGACTATTCTCTTCAACTGAATATCTTGTTGGCATGGGACAAGAGATCTGAAATGAAACTAGGCAAAGGGAACTGCCTCAAAAGAGGCCACCATCTTTCTCAGGAGCTTTCATACAAAGAGCTCACAGAGCAGCACATATGTCTTTGGGAAGGAACACACTCGATTGGACCACATGCAAAATGAGGCCTAAATAATGCAACCTCCGGGTTGGGACTAAGTATGACTTCTGGCAATTAAGGATCTATCCAAAATCTTTCCAAAGTTTTCACCATTTGATTCATGTTGACCTCTAGAAGTATATTGGTCTACTCTCTCAGAAGTAAGTCACCCAAGTAGTGTACCACAGGAATGCCCTGTGCACATTGGCGCCCCAAGACTGGGCTTAGATCCCAGTGCCTGTGATTGATGATAGGAATGTTTATGGAAGTAGAAGAGTTGGCAGGTTTTTGTGCTGCTAGCTTTGACTTTAAGCAGTAACAGGGTACTCTTGCCAATACTTATCTTTTGGATGTTATTATCCAAGGCATTATTATCTAAAGCAAGCAAAATCCACTCTTGTATTAAAAGAGGTATAGACTCTAGAGCAGCAATGGGCAAACTACGGCCCGGCGGACCTTTTAATCCGGCCCGCGGATGTGGCTGTCAGGATGTGTGTAGGCGGGGCAGCGTGACGAACGTGAGGGGAGGGGAGCTAGGCTCCTCTCACAGTCCGCCCTGAAGACCGGAACGGCGCGGGAACATGGCGAGAGGAACGCGCAGAGCAAAGGTAAGTGAATTGACACGGGGGACTTGGCTTACTACTTGGGGGGGAATAGTACTATGGGGGATGAATTACTATAGGGGGGATGAATTACTATAGGGGGGATGAATTACTATGCTTACTATGGGGGAATATTACTATACTTACTATGGATGACACATACACATCATTCATCTACTCTTGGTCCGGCCCCCGGGTCCAATATATGAACCCATTGCGGCCCTCAAGTCAAAAAGTTTGCCCACCCCTGCTCTAGAGAGATATCATATTACCCCTGCACAAATCATTAGTAAGACCTCATATGGAATATACAGTTCATTTTTTGGCACCAATTCACAAAAAGAACATTGGGGAAATGGAGAAAGTACAGAGAAGGGCAACCAAACTGATACAAGGCATGGAGGAGCTCAGCTATGAGGAAAGATTAGAGGAACTGAATCTTAAGAGGAGATTGAGGGAAGATATGATCAACATGTATAAATACAGGGTTCATACAGTGAACTTTGTGATGACCTCAGGGTGAATAGTTCTACACTGAGGACAAGAGGACACTCTTTGCATCTGGAGGAATAGAAATTTAATCTCTGAACATGGAAAGGTTTCTTCACAGTGAGAGCTGTGAAAATGTGGAAATAGACTCCCTCAAGGGTTGGATCTGGCCAGCTCAGTGGAATGCTTTAAAAAAAAAAAAAAAAAAGGCTTGGATACACAGAATATAACTCGTTTCTAACATTTATAGGTAACGTTGATGCAGGGTGTATCGGATTGCCTCTCGGGGGATCAGAAAGGAATTCTTTTTCCCCTGCAGGAGAAAATTGGTTCCTGCTTTGCTGGGAGTTTTTTTGCCTTCCTCTAGATCAGCGGTTCTCAACCTGGGGGTCGCGACCCTTTGGGGGTCGAACGACGCTTCCACAGGGGTCGCCTAAGACCATCGGAAAACACATATTTCCGATGGTCTTAGGAACCGAGACACCGCTCCTCGCCGCCGCCGCCGTCTCCAGGTGTGGGCGGGATGACATGCCGCCCCTGTCATCTGGACACACCTCGAGATCAATCCTCGCCTGTGATTGGCCGCCGGCACTGTAGCTCAGGAGAGGCACACAGGCGGCCAATCACCGGCAAGGAGGTGGAGCTTGGAGAGGAGGAGCCGAGCGGCACCGTGAAGATCGAGCGAGTGAAGAGGAGGAGAGCGGCCGGAGAAGGAAGACATCTGACAGGTAAGTGTCGGTACCATGGGAGAGGGAGGGAGCGAGCGAGCCCAGGCTGGAGCAGGGGTCTGCAAGGTAAGTATCATTGGTGTCAGTGGGAATAGTGCCCCATCATTGGTGTCACTAATACCAATGATGGGGCACTATTCCTCCCACTGACACCAACGATGGGGCACTATTCCTCCCCCAAATGACACCAACGATGGGGCACTATTCCTCCCCCCCACTGACACCAAGGATGGGGCACGATTCCTCCCCCCACCGACACCAACGATGGGGCACAATTCCTCCCCCCACTGACACCGAGGATGGGGCACAATTCCTCCCCCACTGACACCAAGGATGGGGCACTATTCCTCCCCCCACTGACACCAAGGATGGGGCACTCTTCCTCCCCCCACTGACACCAAGGATGGGGCACTATTCCTCCCCCCACTGACACCTATGATGGGGCACTATTCCTCCCCCCACTGACACCAATGATTCGGCACTATTCCTCCCCCCACTGACACCAATGATGGGGCACTATTCCTCCCCCCACTGACACCAATGATGGGGCACTATTCCTCCCCCCACTGACACCAATGATGGGGCACTATTCCTCCCCCCACTGACACCAATGATGGGGCACTATTCCTCCCCCCACTGACACCAATGATGGGGCACTATTACTCCCCCTGATACCGATGATGGGGCACTATTCCTCCCACTGAGACCGATGATGGGGCACTATTCCTCCCACTGATACCGATGAAGGGGCACTATTCCTCCCACTGATACCGATGAAGGGGCACTATTCCTCCCACTGATACCGATGATGGGGCACTATTCCTCCCACTGATACCGATGACGGGGCACTATTCCTCACACTGATACCGATGACGAGGCACTATTCCTAACACTGACACCGATGACGAGGCACTATTCCTCCCACTGACACCAATGACGGGGCACTATTCCTCCCACTGATACCAATGACGGGGCACTATTCCTCCTCTCACTGATACCAATGACGGGGCACTATTCCTCTCCCACTGATACCAATGACGGGGCACTATTCCTCCCACTGACACCAATGATGGGGCACTATTCCTCCCACTGATACCAATGATGGGGCACTATTCCTCCCACTGATACCAATGATGAGGCACTATTCCTCCCACTGACACCTATGATGGGGCACTATTCCTCCCCCCACTGACACCAATGATGGGGCACTATTCCTCCCCCCACTGACACCAATGATGGGGCACTATTCCTCCTCCCACTGACACCTATGATGGGGCACTATTCCTCCCCCCACTGACACCAATGATGGGGCACTATTCCTCCCCCCACTGACACCAATGATGGGGCACTATTCCTCCTCCCACTGACACCTATGATGGGGCACTATTCCTCCTCCCACTGACACCTATGATGGGGCACTATTCCTCCCACTGATACCGATGATGGGGCACTATTCCTCCCACTGATACCGATGATGAGGCACTATTCCTCCCACTGACACCGATGATGGGGCACTATTCCTCCCACTGACACCAGTGTTGGGGCACTATTCCTCCCACTGATACCGATGATGAGGCACTATTCCTCCCACTGACACCGATGATGGGGCACTATTCCTCCCACTGACACCGATGATGGGGCACTATTCCTCCCACTGACACCAATGACGGGGCACGATTCCTCCCACTGACACCAATGAAGGGGGCACTATTCCTCCCACTGACACCAATGACGGGGCACTATTCCTCCCACTGACAGCAATGACGGGGCACTATTCCTCCCACTGACACCAATGACGGGGGCACTATTCCTCCCACTGATACCAATGATGGGGCACTATTCCTCCCAATGACGTGGCACTATTCCTCCTACTGCAAAATTACAGTTATGAAGTAGCAACGAAAATAATTTTATGGTTGGGGGTCACCACAACATGAGGAACTGTATTAAGGGGTCGCGGCGCTAGAAAGGTTGAGAACCACTGCTCTAGATCAACTGTGGGTACAGGATTAGAACTTTTTTTTTTTTTTTTTAATGGTTGAACTGAATGGACTTTTGTCTTTTTTCAGCTAGACTGACTATGTAACTATGTAAGGCAGGGCAGGAAAAAAAAAAATGTTCTCCTTTAAAAGGGTAAGTGTTCAGCCTGCTCTTTAGAATGTAGCTCTGCTGATCAACATCTTAGCTATAGGATTCTGCACATGTGCATAGACAAGACCCTCCCTCCCCAAACGACAAATTAGTGGAATGGAGTCTTTCACTAAGAAATTAGGGATCCAAGGAAAATCATTCTGACATGGGCCTGATTCAGTTTCCCCATGGTCAAGGTCCATATATCTTTCAGCCGATGAGCTCAAATCTTGTCAGTTGTAAGGCCACTGCCATTAGAGTAAAAAGGCTTTAAAAAGGAGAAGTACATCCAAAGCTCTTTTGGGTGGAGCTGCACCTGGCTCAGCCTCTCGGAGAGCCACTGAGAGCCTGAGCCAGGTGCTACCTCCCCCTGCACAAACCGGGGGGGGGGGGGGGGGGGGGGGGGGGGCAGAGCAGACAGAGGTGACTGACAACCATCAGAAAAAACTAAAGGCAGCGCTCCTCAAAATTATTATATCTCTGAATAAGTGAACTCAATCAAGGTAGATAAGTAATGATATGAAAAAGGAACAAAGCGATGTGAAAAATAATTCTGTGAACAAACAGAAGCATACACCAGCTGATTGAAACTCCTTCAAATAACAATTGGCTCCTCATATGGTGAGAATGGGACATAAAAAGGAGAAGAAAAAAAAAAAAAAAAAAAAAAAAGGGAATCCACAGCGTAAAACCATCCAGGCATTTACTCAATGCAATAGGGCATAGAACATAGATAATCAAAGGTTTTCTCCAGTCTCAAAAGACAAAGGCAGCTCACCCATATGTGGTGATGTCACCTCCAAGGCCCCCGCCCTATGTGTTTTGTCATCCGACATCCTCCAGGAGTGGAAGGACTGACAATCACCACTCTCTGCTCACAGCGCGGGTGGGTGTGTAAAAAAAAACAAAACCCAAAACCACACACATCAAGAACAAGATTCACAAAGTGTAGGTTTCCTTCACTCTTCTTCCATTGCTTTATTTCTCTATTACCAATTGTCTAGAAGCGTGGTCTGCATTTGAGAAAAATGTTCCACAATGAGATAATGTTCAAAAAGGGAGAAGGATAACAGACAACCATAAAAATTATTACAAACCATGACTGGGAAAAAACCTTCAAAACAACCGTGATTTCAAAACGCTGTGCAAAAAAAGACATCACACCACGCATATTAAGGCGCCAATAATTTTCAATGGCACCTAAAATGTGGTGCGATTCTGCCATGATTGTCACGCGATAAATGGTGCAGCAATTGCAAAAAACCACATAAGGCAAAGCTTTTCACACAGAAGAAAAAAAAAAAAAAAAAAAAAAAACGAACAAAAGCTTCTTTTGGAGTGCCAAGGTTTGTGGGATTGCAGTATGCGACATTTTGCAGCAGAAATACAGCGTTTTAGGTGCCACTGAAAATGAAAGGCACCTTAACGTGATTGGTGCAGTTTGTAATTTCTACACAGCATTTTGGGATCACAGACAGAATCGCGGCAATTCTGCCCACTATACAAACCGCCCAGATGTGAACAAAGCCTAAAAGGACGTTTTTTTTTTCCATGCCCACAGAACCTCTGCAGGAGTTTAGCTGACAATCAGGTTATCCTTGGGGATAACACATAAATCTCACCACATTTGGGTATTTTCAGGGTATGAAGGATAAGTACTCCCCTTGTTAGTAATGTCTTCATGATATGAAGATATTTTAGAACAAACCCTTTTATGGGACAAATTATTAAGAGATGTTCCATATCTTCTTTATGTACAAGATCTAAAAGAATAAGTAAAAACCAACAGGGTGAGAAATTTACAATGGCCAGTGTCCATTACGAGGCCAAATATCCACTTCAGTCATCAAACCACTTGCTTCTTTTAACTGCAGTGGCTGTATTCGGTTTCCCCAGGATCTTTCGCTTATATTGTTCCACCAACTGATTAAATCGAGTCTCTGCTTGGCTTCGTCTTGGCTGCTGCTTTTTAGAAGGTGCCTGCAAAAATAACCCAGACATTAGCATCACTGGAAATGAGAACCATTTTAGCAAATTGAGTTGTGCTTTCTTCGAATTCCTAAATTGCTGCTTATTACTTTACATAAAACATAATAGATCACATCTCCTAAAGTACATTAATTGAAATTACTGTGTAACTAATACTGTGAATAGAAATCCCATTCCTTTAAAAAAGACAAATAGGAGGTTGTGAAAATACAGTATAAAAAAACTTGAAACCGCTTATTCACCATAAAAAGCATGGATAAGTTTGCAAAGTGTTATAATGAAATGTGGCTGCTGTGAGTTACATTAAAGCCAGACCACAACAACTGCTGCAGAACCTTCTTATTTAATATCATACCTGCGTTTCAGCTGCTTTTAACCTTTGCTGTTTCCTGCTCTGCTGGTGTGGATTTGGCTTCTTTGACAACACCTGCTGGAGCTTACCCTTGTCACGTGCTCTGAAATAAGAGACCAATTATGCTCATAATGTGTTTTACAAGCAAATGGCAGTAAGGAATTATTAAGCAATTAGGAATACACAAAAGACATAAAAAAAATATACATTTATCTGATATAACTGCAACCAATCCAGCTATGAAATGAGGTTACGGACTCCCTTTTAGGCCAACAATAGCAAATCTAAGATCTAACTGACCAGACAACAGCTGTATTGCTGAGTTCATAGTGGAGTATTCAGTGCTCCTACTATGGAGGCTCTGGAAATTTAGCGTTAGGACCACAGTATATACAGGAGGTCCCTTGATGTGGACACTGTGGCTTACACATATTTGCAAATGTGTGCAAATAAAACACTCTGCTTTTTACCCGCAAACTGTTAGAGAAGGTTAATTCCAGTTGTTTTGCAGGCAGGTTGGAAAGTGAGCAGGGAAATCTTTTGTTTGTTTATGCTGTGCATTGCCTTTCCATGTGCACCTTGCTGCATAGGCCAGTTATAGATTGGGGTCGTTGTCACTTTCTTGTACAGACACAAATAACACAGGAGCAAAAATGTATACCCAAGATAGATGGTCTTTGGAGCATTAAAGTGTTACTAAACCTACAACAGTAAAATTAGTCTGTATATGCAGTAAAGCATGCTTGTTATACTCGCTGAGGAACCTAAGGGGTTAATCTTCTGCATTGTGTAAAAAGGCTGTTTGATCCTGACTTCTCTTGTTCAGATGTCTACACCGATAAGACAGACTGAACCCAAAGCCCTTCTGCACATGCTCAGTTTAGTGTGTATTGCTTGAGGTTTTTGTTTTTTTTTTTTTTCTTGGGAGAGTGCATGTGCTCAGCACAGGGCCAATCAGCACTGTCCAAACAGAGGACAGGGGTTCTGCATCCTCCTAGAGAAGAAAGAAAACTTCTACAACTTTAACCAGTGCTCACCTGAAGTCACAAGACTGCTCTAACTGCTGATGAGAAAAGTTTATATTTACTAAAATAATTGAATTTCCATGTTCTGTGTACTGTGGGAAACCAGATATAGTGAATGCAGGGTCCTGGGTTTAGTAACACTTTACGGTGTTCTCTGGTCTTATAGGTTTCTGCTGCTGTAGAAAACCTTTTAAAGGAATGTTCTTACCTTATTTTAGGACCTGCATGGGATGGCATATGTAAAACTTTCCTCCTTTTCTTTCCATCTTCAAGCTCTTCTTGTTCAAGTTCCTCTTTTGTTTGGAATCCAGACCAACGAACAGGTCGTAATGGCTTTTCGTCCTGTGTTTCTGCTGCCATGCCTTCACGGTTCCCAGCTGGTTTTTGTTTCCTTTTGATGGCTTTTGTTGCAGAAGAGTCAGTTATCTGTGCTTTGACAGGTGCCCCCCCAGATGAAGCTTTAGCACTTTTTCCAACTATTATCACCGGTTTCTGCTTAGACTTCCCTCCAGCAGCAGCTTTAGAGCTTTCATTACTCTTTTGCCATTTCTTCTTTGAGTTACCCTGAACTGGCTGTACCTGAGGGGTGCCTAAAGCTTGTGCCTTTGCCTGCTTCTGTCTCAATACCTCCTGCATGCAAAAAATATCACCATTAACATTTTCAATACAATACAGTTACAAGCAACAGATGCATTCAAATAAGTAGGCTCATTTGTCTTCTTTTGGATATCTCATGTTCTAAGATGCCTATGGAACCAAAAGGACAATTCGAGCAACAGACAATCATTCACCCTAAGATATGACTCTTAGTTGCCTTATATATACAGTTAGGTCCATATATATATTTGGACAAAGACACAATTTTAGTTTTTTCAGGTATTTACCAAAACATATTGAAGCTATAGTTATATAAATGGATATGGGCTGAAAGTGTGCACTCTCAGGTTTAATTTGAGGGTATGTACATCCAAATTGGAGGAAGGGTTTAGGATTTACAACTCTTAAGAGTAGCCATCCCTCCCTTTTTTTAAGGGACTAAATGTAATTGGACAAATGAATATAAATCATAAATAAAATGTTCATTTTTAATATTGTTTAGAATCCTTTACTGGCAATGACTGCCTGAAGTCTGGAACCCATGGACATTACCAAAGATTGGGTTTCCTTCTAATGCTTTGCCAGGCTCTAACTGCAGCTGTCTTCAGTTGTTCTCGGTTTGTGGCTATTTCTGCTTTTAGTTTTACCTTCAGCAAGTGAAATGGATGCTCAATTGGGTTGAAATCAGGCGATTGCCTCGGCCATTGCAGAATATTCAACTTTTCTTTCAAAAGCTCTTGGGTTGCTTTTGCAGTGTTTTGAATCATTGTCCATCTGTACTGTGAAGCGCCATCCAATTGACTTTGCTGCATTTGGCTGAATCTGGGCTGACAGTATATCTCTAAATACTGCAGAATTCATCCGGCTGCTTCTGTCACATCATCAATAAACACCAATGACCCAGTGCCACTGGAAGCCATGCATGCCCATGCCATCAAACTGCCTCCACCATGTTTTACAGATGACGTTGTGTACTTTGGATCATGAGCTGTTCCAAGCCTTCTCCGTACATTTTTCTTCCTGTCATTCTGGTATAGATTAATCTTAGTTTCATCCATCCAAAGAAAGCTTTTCCAGAACTGGTCTGGGTTTTTTAGATGTTTATTTTGGCAAAGTCTAATCTGGCTTTTCTATTCTTCAGGCTTATGAATGGTTTGCACCTTGTGGTGAACCCTCTGCATTTGCTCTTGTAAAGTTTTCTCTTGATTGTCGACTTTGACAATGATACGCCCACCGCCTGGAGAGCGTCCTTCACTTGTCTGGATGTTGTGAATGTTTTTTTGTTCACCACAGAGAGAATCTTGAGATTATCCACCACTGTTGTCTTCCGTGGACATCCATGCCTTTTTATGTTGCTGAGCTCACCAGTGCACTCTTCTTTCCTCATAATGTACCAAATTGTTGATTTGGCCACTCCTAATGTTGCTGCTATCTCTCTGATGGATTTGTTTAGTTTTTGAAGCCTTACAATGGCCTGTTTCACTTGCATGGACAACTCCTTTGAACGCATGCTGTAAGTTCACCGCAATAGATTCCAAATGCAAATACTACACCTAGAATCAAGTCCAGACCTTTCACCTGCTTAATTGACAAAGAAATAACAAAGGAGTAGCCCACACCTGGTCATGAAAAAGTGATTCAACTGTCCATTTACTTTTGGTCCCTTGAAAAAAGGAGGATGGCTATTCTTAAAAGCTGTAATTCCTAA